AAAGAAAATTGGAATCTAAATTCAAAATTAAAAAAGGATGGTAAGGTCCAATAATTTCATTTACTTGGCGGCACAATCGACGTGCAACATTTTGGTCATTTGTAATATATTTGGAACGAGGGAAATAAAAGGAAGAAATTTTTTTTTTAACTTATTAAATTATAATGCTTTTAAAATATTATAATTTGATTAAAACAAAATTCTCTCTCCCTTCCATTTCCCTGTATTTCTCTTAATTAAAACATATAGTTAACTATTTGATTTTGAATATCAATCCGCTTTCCAGCCCATCTATTTATTCCCAGTATCCAATTTAGGCGCCAGTTTATACCAGAATTTGTTGAGGAAGCACTATATTAATCGATACGAAGTCAATTTGATATAGGATTTCTTATTTCCTCGTAGTTTCACCCAACCTTTTTAAAAACGTCTAATCTTTAAACAATTAAAAAATTAAGACCACTAAAATACTTAAAAAAACCTAATTACAGCGTATTTTAGGCCCAATTAAAAATATACCATGGATTACCTCCTTCTTTAGTTTCATGTTTCTCTTTACTACAATAATGAAAGTGAATTCGTTTGTAGGAAAACATTTTTTAGTCTTGGGCAATTGTTTTAGTATGATCTTAAAGTAAATTAAATATAAATAAAAATATTTTTGTAAATAAATTGATTTTGACTAAAAAAGAATAATAGAGATGAGGAAAAGAGGAAAAATAATAATAACCAAATTATTAATATAGAAATTGAAATGAGAGTGAATGTAGTGGTTAGAGACTAACATAATGATAAAATGTGAGGGTTTAAGGTAATGATAACATTTTTTTAGATAATTTGTTTAAAAATTCACTTTCTATATATAATTTTTAAAAATTTACTGTTGAATTAAAAATTTTATATATGTAAATTAAGTATGTCAATTTTTATATAGATTTAACACTTACAACTTTTTTTTCATAAAAACTCTATTTATTAACATATATTTAATGATATTAAATTTTGTATAATTAATGAATAGGTTAGGCTTACTAGATTAATTTAAAAATTGATATACATAATTTATATAAACAAAACTTCCATTTGATAATTAGTTTTTAAAAATATTAATTAAAAAATTAATTTTTAAAAAGTCATAAAAAAATTGAAAAATCGAGTTGTAAAACACTTTTATCTTAATTTAATGTACAAAAGTTAACACAACACATACAACTTCCAGCTAGGACGTGAGCCATAATGCCCCACCAACAAAAACATTTTGACCACAATTTGTGAGCAAGAAGAGAGCAATGTAAAATTATTGATGTCTTGAGTTTCTTTTACAAAAATCACACAAAAGTAAAGTAGTATCATTAGTAATCCCCCATCCGAAGATTAGACTAGTTAAGGACCCTCGTTAAGTATAATTAACCTCGTTCTTGTATTTGTTTTGGTATAATAATTGAGTTCTTAATTATTTCGTTATTTCAGGAACTATCTTAATGGATCGCCTGGGGCCAATCATCGATCACCTGGGGCTGCGGCCAATCATCGATTTCTTGGGGCCAATCATCGATCACCTGGGGCCAATCATCGAATTGCTGAAGCCCTTAATGACTTCGGTATACCGGCATCTGGAATGTCACATAAAACTTCAGGAAAATGTGGAAGAATTGAGTAGGGTGTTGGGAGATCTGAACAACCTATTGGAAGATATAAATTTAAAAAGACAAAATGCCGAGGCTTGCCTGAGAAAGGTGGTGAGGAGAGAAGTGATGATGTGGCTTGAAAAGGTACAAACCATCAACAATGAAGTTCAAGTTCTTGAACAGAACTCTCAAAATGTTTCATACCTCCATCG